CAGCTGCTTCCAGTATCTGGCTGGTCCTGGGTATTGTCAGCATTCTGCTCCATGATTGGTGGGTCTCAATGATATCACTCTGGGTTCTTCAACAGATACTGTGCTCTCGGCTCTTTGGAATAGGTTTTTGTTTGCAACTTCTTTCCTTTGCTGATAGACTACTATCTAGTCCTCTGTCACAGGGGAATCAGTGATGGGCCAGCATCTGGGGCTTAGATTTCAGCTGTCAGTCTGCCTGTACTCTTGAATAGGGTTAACATATGCTCACCTGGAAGGGATTTTGTTACTGTAAAAGATGCGTTGCTGAGTGGTAGCCTGGCAGTGACAAAACTCTTCACACTGTATATGCCTTTCTACTTTTATATTATTTATGTATTTATTTTATTAATTCCATTTCTATACCGCTCAATCCTGCATGAAATGAAACTTCCATCTATGAGATAGAGATGGGGCTGCTGAAATTTGCTTGGACCCAGTGAAGTGGGACTTCCCTGCTTCCTACTCCCTGTCTCTGTCTAAAATACTCCTCCAAACCTTGCTTTTGTAGGTAAGAGGATCCTCAAAAACAGCATAGGGGCTGGAGCTGGAGATCGGCAGTAGAAATGGAGGATCAGGGGAAATCATTTCCCTTTCTGTCATGGAACTGAGATTCAAGTTATTAGCAAAAAAACTTTTGGGTCTGAGTAAAATTGATGTGTCTGATTTGCACAATTACATTGTTTTCTTGCAGCTTCTATCTCCAGTCAGTTGTCAGTTACCACCTCCAATTTTGAAAGGCATATGTTAAAGAGAAAAAGAATTAACTTTGACATTTGTAGTTGAGACTTATTACTTAGATGTCTCACAGTGTTATCCTAAGCAGAATTACACTGTTACTAAGCCCAACAATGTCCGTGAGCATAACAGCAATAAAACTATGCTTCGGATGGCACTATTTGTGTGTCTTCATTCTTTGCTGATGAACCCAGCTAACCTTGCAACTGTTTATTCAGATCACTTCTCAAATAGATGCCACTGATTGTGCAGGATCAAAAAACTGGGAATGCATTCTATCCAATGTGTGTGATTCACACACAAAAGGGAACAAGCTACAAACAATATGTACATTACAGGGGTGTCAAACATGCGGCCTGTGGGGTGAATCCATCCCACACAGGGCTCAAATCTGGCCCCTGAGTAATTTCCTTCTCCTGTTTCCTTTCCAGGGCTGCAGCTGCACCATAGCTTGCTTCCCCCCCCCCAGTTCCCTCAGTGGCTTTTTGCTTCCTGCCTCTTGCCTCCCTCCCTCCCCTCTCTCCTCTCTCTCTCTCTCTCTCACACACACACACACATGTACACACACAGCTCTGTGGCTGCTTCCTGCTTTGTGCAGAAGAGATACGAAGACAAGCCTCTCTCGCTCTCACACTCACTCACTCAAAGACGCACACACACATGCACAGCTTCTGCTTCCTTCTCCGGGGCTGCTGCTCCTCTTTTGGGGAGGAAGACAGAGGGAGGAAAGAGAGAGAGAGAGAAAACAAAGTTGGAATCCCATGGCAGGGTTAAGACCAACATTTTATTCCAGGTATAAGCTGTTGTGTGCAAGTACTCTTCTTCTTCTTTGGAGGGAGGGAGGGAGGGAGGGAGGGTTCTTCTGGCAAGCACAATGTACATTGAGGAAATTATTTTGGCTTATTCTGAAAAGGTTTTTTATTTTTTTAAAAAATATATTGGATTTCTTTGTTCCTATTTGGATTTATTTTCTTTCAAAAAGACCCTGATTAGTAATTAGAACACTTGGATTGGTTTTTATATCCTGGAGAGTGGAGTGATCTCAGATATCAAATGATAATAGCACACATTGGTAATGAGACAGGAAAACTAGGTCTCAGTTCAGTCCAGGAGGATGCATTGTCTTGAGCTTCATTATCAATTGCAATTCAGCAGCCCCTCTTTCTAATCTCCCTTTGAAATCCCTTTGTAAGAGCACTGCTACTCATAGGGCAGCAACTGAATGTTCTGGTTTCTAATGTCAGACTTATCTCCATTTATTTTTTGCATCCTCCTGAACTGAATCCTCATGGATGGAATTGAAACCTAGGTTTCCTGTCTCATTACCAATGCTGGTATCTCAACTTCTACCACCCCTCTGCATATCACACCTAATCCAATCAAGCCTGCTATTGTCATTCACCTGCTATTGCCATTCAACATCTGAAATCACCTTTATTAAGGTTATATCTCCGGTACCTTGTGTTACATTTTATGGCATGTGTGGCCTGGCCGAACAAGGTGACACTTATGTCAGATCCAGCCCTTGTAATAAATGAGTCCGACACCTCTGAATACGTTGGTCAATTATGACCCAAATGAATATGAACTCTGGGAACACTGCCTCTTCTCTAGTAAATATTTCTTCCTTGGACTGAGCAAGAACAGCAGCAACCCGCAATGACCAAGAGGCTACTGAGCAGGCAAAAAGCTGCTTGGTATGATGAACTGTGTCAGGGAACACTTAAGATTTTGCACAAAGGAGTTCAATCAGTGTAAGTTGGCCTGGTGTTTGTGTCAAAGTATGCAACATGCCTAATCCTCACATGCAAGAGCACTGTCCACTCACAAGATCCAGTGCTGCTGTGTATGAACAACGAAGGAGTCCTGTGCAGATAGGCAGGGCCAACTGGCAAATACACTGCCACATGTGCACAGTGTTGTGCATGGAAGCAAGAAAAGCAATGCAACCTCGTACTAGCTGAGCATAGGCTTTGACTGAAAATTGCATTAAATATGTGAATAACGATTTCACTGAAGTTTTGTATGTGTCAAAACATCAGAAATAAACTCCCATAGAGCTATTTAATAACTATCTTTTTTGCTTTTCCATTTGTATCAGTTTCATTTCAAATTCATGCCAGAGTACACAGTGTCATTAGCATGGCGTTTGTTTCGTCTCATTCCAGCCAGATACATTACTCCCTGTGCCACACATTAAATAGCTAACCAGGAACTCTGCATTGGGAGGTCTGGCCTTTCAGGTATGTCATTCTGAGACCACCCTAATCGCCGAGGCAACAGGAACACAAAGCCAAGGTCAAACAAAGCAGCCCCCTTGTAATTAGATACTAATAATGGATTAAAGGTGTAAAATTCACCTAAGTCCACACACCAACAGACTAAACAATCCAAATGAAGCCAGGCAATATTTGTTTTGTAAAAGTACTTTCCCCTAGAAATCACAAATAAAGAATATATAATATTAGGGAAAAGGACTGTTATGGAAATAAATATAACGGCCTCTAGAAAGAGGCTCTGGGCGGGTGCCTCGGCCTTGGACACTCAGTGTCAATTTGCTGTGGTGACCTCAGCAGGGTATAATGACACTGAGTCCACCATTTTCTCCAGAGGAACTGATCTCTGCTACCTAAAGAACAGTTGTAATTTTGAGTGATCTGCAGCCCTCACCTGGAGATTGGCAATGATGGTTCCCCAGAAGGGAATGGTTGGTCTGGAGGGTGGAGTCTATGGCTTTGTACCTGTCTGAGGTCCCACGCCTCCTGAAACCTCACCCTCTCCAGGCTCCATCCCTCACATCTCCAGGAATTTCCCACCTGGAGTTGGCAACCCTATCTCCTTCCCAGCCAATTATCAACCTACCTTTATTTCCCTCTCACTCATCAGCTTTCCACCCCCCACACACCTGCAGCCTCTCCCATGCTCTGAAGCCCTGACTGCTATGTCACATTGGCTGTCATACGGGGGCCACCTCAGCAGCATATAAGGATACAGAGCCCACCATTTTCTCCAGGGGAACTGATCTCTGCCATCTGGAAAGCAGTTGTAATTCTGAGTGATCTCCAGCCCTCACCTGGAGATTGGACACATTTTACCTCAGAACAGCAAACTGTTTAGAATGTTAGAGGCAAAAGCCAATCAAGTCGCATATGCAAATGACCTCTGTGTTCCGAGGCAAAGGCCAATGAGGCTGCATATGCAAATAACCTCTGTGTTCTGACTGGCTATGGGGGGGAGAGGAACAGCAAACTGTTTAGAATGTTGGAGGCGAGACTCAAGCAATGCAGCCAGTGGATAGGGACAGATTCTGAGTGACACATCAGGGTGCCAACCAATTCCGGAGAGTGTGGAATGTTCTAGAGAAGTGCCACCACCATTTGGCTTTTATATATAAGGGAGATTCTTGAGTGACTGCAGTAACATGTGCTTCCTAATTAGTAGCACTAAATTTGGGTGGTAGATTCATGACAAAGAATTAGAGCTCTACTGTAATCAATACTGCTATTCGTTTATTGTTAGGTTGTTCATAGTTCTGGAAGACTTATGTCCTTCTGCCAAAAACCAAGGCCTCCTAGATAAGCTATTGCATATATTTCCAAGCATCTGTCATGTGTTCTACCTGCTAGTTCTCCGTAGGACCCCATCCACTCATAGTCATCTTGATGCTTTCGTGTATTTGAAGGCTGATTAGTACCTTTTCTTTTTGTGGGGCAGGGAAGATACATAGTGGCTTATGTAAACAGGGCTGGGGAAGATCTGGACTTTCCTGTTCACAGGGCAGCCATCCTGGCTTTGCTGCAATCCTTCCTAAACGACTGTTTAGGAGCAATCACAGAAAAGCCAGAAGGTACCTGAGAACACCACAATGATGCATGGAAGCAAGAAAACCCCCTACTTCCCACCAGCAACAAAGCCAGGCCAAATACCCAGTGTAGAAGTGACCCAATCCTGTGCACAAGTGCCCCAGTACACAAGTGGCAAGGTTCTTCTTCGCCACAACAGACTACTACTGAGGAATATGGTGGGCTATAGTTGAAACACACTATAAAACCACATTTTCCCAGTTCAGCTACGACTAGGTACAGCTCCAGAATCCTGATTACACTGCAGCTTGTTTCCAAAAAGAAAATGTGAAGGGTCAGAACCTAAATTACTCTCTCCTCTGACATATCTGGAAATCAGAATATCTTAAAGACTACACTTTATTTCTGTACAGCACTTCTTACCTTTTGGGGTCAATTATTTTATAAAGTTTTCCATTGTAAGACTGTGTCATGCTTTTACTGCTTGCTAAGATGTAAACTTCACCTGTTAGACAAAAACATACCATAAGTCAATATTGGTATTAACAAATGTGTTATCCCAAACACAGCTGGAACCTTTCTAAGTCCACTGAAGTCAATGGACTTAGGTGGGTGTAATTCTGTTCAGGACTGCACTGTAAAGTACTGTATAGTTTATATGTTAATATTGTATCTTTTTCATGGGTCTCTTAATGGGGGCAAGTACATCACAGTAATTATTAATTCTCACAACTATGATTTGTATTTCTATTTCAGTAATGGGGAACAGAAGTTGAGAAAGAATAACTTGCACAAGGAAACTCAGAATATTCACGCATAAGCAGGAAACTGCATTTAGGTCTCTCTGGTCCCCCTATGAAGTTCTAAAAGTACATTTTGTTCTTAGGTCTCAACACCTGACTTGTTCTAATTATATGTAAATATATAGGTTTGATCCACCCAGCTTTTTGATTGCGAAGAAAGTAAAAAGGAGTCCCCTTTGGCCACCAAAGAAGCTTTTGCAGGGGTCATAAGACTAGCATGTACAAAAGTCATGTGCAATGGGAGTTGTAGTAATAAGGGGAATTGTGTGAGATTGAGTGAAAGAGCTGGCTGGATCTAACCCATTACTTCTAAAAGGCCTAGCACAGAATGGGTGTGTAAGTAATCATGGTATAATGCAACGGTCCCGGCCGCTGCCGCCGGCCTTGAAGCTCCACTGCCGACCCCCATGAGGGGCCCGGCGGTGGACCTGCAAGGCCAGCGGGAGTGCGAGGAAGCCCCGCCAAGGCCCTCCCTGGCCCCAGGCAGGCAGGGGTGGGGAGAGGCGGGGAGGAAGCAACTTACCCTCATAAGAACATAAGAACATAAGAACATAAGAACATAAGAGACGCCAATGTTGGATCAGGCCAAAGGCCCATCCAGTCCAACACTCTGTGTCACACAGTGGCCAGAAATACCAGGTGCCATCAGGAGGTCCACCAGTGGGGTGGAGTGCCCACGAGTTCTTGTATTGTGAGAAAGGGAGAAAAGTACCTCTTTCTTTACCTGCTCTTTCCCATGCATAATCTTATAAACCTCGATCATGTCACCCCTCAGTCGTCTTTTCTCCAAGCTAAAGAGCCCTAAGCGCTTTAACCTTTCCTCATAGGGAAAGTGTTCCAACCCTTTTATCATTCGAGTTGCCCTTTTCTGCACTTTTTCCAAAGCTATAATATCCTTTTTAAGGTGTGGTGCCCAGAACTGCACACAGTATTCCAAATGAGGTCTCACCATTGATTTATATAGGGGCATTATTATATTGGCTGATCTGTTTTCAATACCCTTCCTAATAATCCCCAGCATAGCATTGGCCTTCTTTATTGCAGTCACACACTGTCTCGACATTTTCAGTGAGTTATCCACTACAACTCCAAGATCTCTCTCTTGCTCAGTCTCTGCCAGTTCAGACCCCATCAATGTGTATTTATATTTAGGATTTTTGGCTCCAATGTGCATCACCTTGCACTTGGCCACATTGAACCCCATTTGCCATGTTGACGCCCACTCGCCCATCCTTGACAGATCCCCTTGGAGTGCCTCACAATCCTCACTGGTTTTCACCACCCTGAACAACTTTGTATCATCCGCAAATTTAGCCACTTCACTGCTTACTCCCATCTCCAAATCATTAATGAACAAGTTAAAAAGCAGTGGACCAAGTACTGATCCCTGCGGTACCCCACTGCTTACCACCCTCCACTGAGAAAATTGCCCACCTACACTCACTCTCTGTTTTCTATGAACTAGCCAGTTTTTGATCCATAAAAGGACTTGTCCTTCTATCCCATGATTTTTGAGCTTACTTAGGAGCCTTTGATGAGGAACTTTATCAAAAGCTTTCTGGAAGTCAAGGTAAATAATATCTATTGGATCCCCCTTGTCCACATGTTTGTTCACCCCCTCAAAGAACACTAACAGGTTAGTGAGACAAGATCTTCCCTTACAGAAACCGTGCTGAGTCTGCCTCAATAGGTTTTGTTCATCTATGTGCCTACTAATTCTTTCCTTAATAATGGTTTCCACCAATTTACCCGGTATCGACGTCAGACTGACTGGCCTGTAATTTCCCGGATCTCCTCTGGAACCCTTTTTAAAGATGGGAGTGACATTAGCTACCTTCCAATCCTCAGGAATGGAGGCAGATTTTAAGGAAAGATTACATATCTTTGTCAGGAGATCTACAAGTTCACATTTGAGTTCTTTCAGAACTCTCGGATGTATGCCATCTGGGCCTGGTGATTTTTCAGTTTTTAAGTTGTCTATCAGTTTTAGGACCTCCTCTCTCGTCACCTCAATCTGACTCAGGTCTTTCAACACCCCTCCTGAAATCAGTGGTTCTGGAGTGGGCAAGCACTTCTCATCTTCCACAGTGAAGACGGAGGCAAAAAATGCATTTAGCTTCTCAGCCATTTCCCTATCATCCTTCAATACTCCTTTTACCCCTTGGTCGTCCAAGGGCCCCACTGCCTCCCTGGCTGGTTTCCTGTTTCTAATGTATTTGAAGAAAGTTTTATTGTTGGTTTTTACGTTTTTTGCTATATGCTCCTCATATTCCCTTTTTGCCTGCCTGACCTCAGACTTGCATTTTATTTGCCATAGCCTGTGTTCCGTTTTATCAGCCTCACTGTGACTAGCTTTCCACTGCTTAAAGGAATTCTTTTTACTTTTTACAGCCTCCATTACTCTGTTTGTTAACCATGCAGGCTTTTTCCTATACCTGTTTGTGCCTTTCCTAACCTGCGGAATATATATTTTTTGAGCTTCTAGGATCGTAGTTTTAAATAGATCCCAAGCTTCCCCAATTGTTTTGACCCTTTCTACTTTTCCTTTCAGTTTCCTCCCCACGTGTCCCCTCATATCAGAGAAATTACCCCTTTTAAAGTTAAAAATGGTTGTGTGAGTCTTTTTGGCCAATTCTCTATTTGTACAAATGATGAACTCAACAACATTATGATCACTGTTTCCAAGCGGTGCAATCACTTTTACATCTCTCACCAGGTCTTGAGTGTTACTTAGGACCAAATCAAGGATCGCCTCTCCCCTGGTAGGTTCCGTGACCATCTGCTCCATAGCACAGTCATTTAGAGTGTCTAGAAACTCAATCTCTTTTTCCCGGCTAGAACACATATTGACCCAATCAATGTGTGGGTAGTTAAAATCACCTATTATTACACAGTGTTTTTGTCTAGTTGCTATCTTTAAGGCATTCATCATTTTATAATCCTCCTCTATCTTTTGATCTGGTGGGCGATAACAAACTCCCAGTGTTAAGTTTCCTTTTGGCCCCCCTATTTCAACCCATAGAACTTCCAGAAGCGAATCCAATTCACTTAGCCTCTCAATCTTTCTAGACTTTATACCCTCTCTGACATACAGAGCTACCCCACCTCCAACCCTTCCCCCCCTATCCTTCCGATATAATATATAACCGGGAATCACTGTGTCCCACTGATTTTCCTCATCCCACCAAGTTTCAGAAATACCCACAATGTCTATTTTTCCCTCCGACACCAAGCACTCCAACTCCCCGATTTTACCTCGGACACTTCTAGCATTTGTATAGAAACAGCTGTAATTTCCCTTACAAGTTAAGCCTGCATCCTTCCTCTTGCTATCTCGAGTCGTTGTCCGGCAGTCCATGTCACCAGCCATGGCCTCTGTGGACAATTTCAATCCACCTCCCTGTAGAAAAGCAACCGGTACCCCCTCACCTCTCTCAGATGAGCCAACCCGAACCAGAGACTTTTCATCTCCTGTCGGCTTTCCCCCAATATTCAGTTTAAAAGCTGCTCTGCCACCTTTTTGATTTTAAGTGCCAGCAGCCTGGTTCCTTCTCGGGACAAGTGGAGACCGTCTCGCCTGTACAGCTCCCTCTTGTTCCAAAAAGTATCCCAGTGCCTAACAAACCTGAACCCTTCCCCCCTACACCATCGTCTCATCCACGCATTGAGACTCCTGATCTCTGCCTGTCTCTCCGGCCCTGCGCGTGGAACAGGTAACACTTCTGAGAAGGCTACCTTGGAGGTCCTGGACCTAAGTTTCCTGCCCAGCAGCCTAAATTTCTCCTCCAGGACCTCACGACTGCATTTCCCCACATCGTTGGTGCCGACATGCACCACGACCACTGGCTCCTCCCCAGCACTATCTACCAGCCTATCTAAAACACGCGTAATGTCCGCTACCTTTGCACCAGGCAGGCAAGTCACCATACGGTCAGTACGCGGGTTCGCCACCCAGCTGTCTACCTGCCTAAGGATCGAATCACCCACTACCAAGAGCCCCCCTCCCACCCTGCTCAGGGATGGTTCCTTGGTGCAAAAGGAGAGCCGCTCACCAGCTGGGGAAGAGGTCCCTTCTGAGGGCACATTCCCCTTATCCTCAGCATGGTGCCCTGTTTCCCCTAGACCCTCATGCTCCCTGACAGCAGCGGGGCTGCCAGATCCAGAGTGGGACGTAGCTAACAAGTCCCCGAGAGTCTTTTCTGTGCGCCTAGCTGACTGTCTCTGCTTCTCCAGGTCAGCCACCTTGGCCTCAAGGGAGCACACACGTTCCCTGAGAACCAGGAGCTCCTTGCACCGAGGACACACCCAAGACTTCTGCCCAGTGGGCAGATAGTCATACATGTGACACTCCGTGCAAAACACTGGATAGCCCCCAACCCCCTGCTGGCATTCTGGCTTCATAATTCTTTTAAAATAAATAAATATAATCCCCCTTTTAAACCCTTGGTATTTATGTGGGTTTTGTTATCAAGTCAAATTATTTTACGGGAAAGACAAAGAGCCTCCCTCTTCTCCTGCCTCCTCCTGGCTGAATGAGGGCTGGAAGCGGGGCAGCCGGAAGCAGGGGGCGGGGCTTCGTCATGTGCCCCACCCCCCTGCACCTCACCCGGGGGAACTGCGTTCCCCCGCGTTCCCCCCCGAAATGACCTCTGCTTCTGAATATCACTGGGCTGATCTTGGTCAAAATCCCATTAACAATACAGTCATACAGAAAGAAATATTTTCTATCTCACCTAATTCATCTTCGCCAAATCCCAAGATATGTCCTGCAAAGAAACCTCTACATGAACCACTGTTGCCAAGACATAATGGTTTCTCTTGCCACTGTTTAGTAATGGGACTCTGTTGAAGTGTTAAAAAGTTTCTGAAATCACATATACAAAAGACAAACAGTTACACGGTGCTTGCTTTGCTTTAAAGGAATACATTACTGGAACACACACTGGAGTTCTTTTCAAATTTTGGCTAACATTAACCCTTTGAAATTGGAGTTATAAAGCAACAATCCAAATGATACGTTGTGCGGAGTAGTGTAAAAGACAGATCTTGAAGGCAAAGCTTTTATTACATTAAAGAGGCACATGAAAGATTTCATTCCTATTAAAAAACTTACTTGGGAGTCATTTAGGACTTGGAGTGCAATCCTAAGCATCGACATACATTTCTAAGACAGTGGAGCCAATGGTTCTTAGATGGGTGTAATTTTGCTTAGGATTGCCCTATAAGACTGCAATCTTATACCTATTTACTTGGGAGTAAGAGCTATGTAACTTATTGAGTCCTACATTTTAGTAAACATGTACAAGACTGGGGTGCATGCGGATCAGTTTCCCTCTACAGAGTATCAAACACCTCTAGAGTTTCAGGAGCCCTTTCAGGAGCACTATTTGTTTTTATATTAAAAATGTCTTTATTAAAAATTATAAACTATTTTTGTTTCTGTTTACTCTGTATTTGTTTGCAGCAGCCTTTTAACCCTCTCTTGATCTGTTTATCAGAGTAACATTTTTGAGAAATATTAAATGTACTGTCATAATAGTAATGTTTTGATTAACTGCAAACAATAGTGTTCTGGCCACAATTCAGACAGTGATTTTAGGTGCACCAAAAAGTTTCTACTTTTTGTTTGTCAGACTTTTGATATATTTTCCTTTAGGAATAAAAGACATATATGCCATGTCTCAAACTGCTTTTGAAATGCCTCTGGGCTTCAAAGTCATTTTGTTGTTGGATATATATCTGTGGATAAATCCTATATTGCTATTTGGAGACACAAATCCAAAGTCCCTCTAGATGCAATCTCTGAACTGTGGCCCTCATCTACTGCTAGATACTCAAAAGTGGTGCCTCAGAAGTAATAGCTGTTTTGTTGTACTGAAATCTTGGAATTCTATATCGAACTACTTCAGATGCTACGCGGATGGAAATCTTATGACTAATTATATAAAAGTGTGATTTACTATGAATACAAATCTTACAACAGAACATAGCTCATGCGCTGCATTTTTGGTTCACAATTAGGTGTCTGCACCAAAAAGAAGGGTATTTTTTGGGTTCGGGTGTGTGTGTGTATAGTTTTTTGGTATTTTTTCGTGTGGGTGTGCGTGCGGTGTGCGTGTGAGTGTGTGTGCACCTGGAAGTCATGGTGACCTCTGGTGACTGACCCCTACTGGAGGGCCTGGAGGATATTCAGAGGCTGAATAAAGCCTGCCTCCACCTCCTGACTGCTGGTATTCCAAGGAGGTTTCCCATCCAAGTACTTGCCAGAGTCAACCCTGCTTCCTTCCGAGTCAACCCTGCTTAGCTTCTGAGGTCTGACGAGATAGGGCTTGCCTGGGCTATCAGGTCAGGGCTGGGTTTGGGTGTATTGAACCAAAACAATATTGATATTTCCTGATATTCCCAAATCTCAATATTGGTATGGTATTGGGATTCAAGAAATATTTGGGATTGCAGAATTTTTTTGGCTCCATTATACCCTATGGGGGCCATTGTAGTCAATGGTCTCCGTAGGGTATAATGGAGAATTGATCTGGAGTATCAGGGACCCTGGGGGGCTATTGTTTTGAGGTAGAGGCCCCAAATTTGCAACATAGGTGCTGGTGCCTCTCCTCAAAAAAACTCCCAAGTTTCAAAAAGATTGGACCAAGGGGTCCAATTCTATGGGCTCCAAAAGAAGGTGCCCCCATCCACCATTGTTTCCAAAGGAGGAGAAAAAGGCATTTAAAGGCACACAGTCCCTTTAAATGCCTTCTCCAAGCTGCAGCACAATTCAGCTGTGGCACGTGAACTCCAAAGGCATTTAAAGGGACTGCAGTCCATTTAAATGCCTTAGAGTTCACTCTGAAGGCATTTAAATGGACCGAGAACCCTTTAAATACCCTGTAACTGCTACTATCCAGTGGCCCAAAAAAATCTCCAATATTTTCAGGGTTTTTTTGGGGTGGCCATTTTTAGATAGCTGAATCCCCAGCCCCCTTGTTGATCAGCTGAGAAAATACCTGATAAATACCGATAAGATATTTTTTCAGCTCGGTTTATACCAAGTGCACATCCCTATTCACAATATTAATTTTAAGAAACTTACCCATTGCGATCTGCAAACACATAACTTCCATAAAGTCTTTCAGACTGGCAGCCTCTGTATACGAATCCCCCAACCAAGGGTCCATTACTGAATGGCTTGAATTCTAATAGTGAAGGCTCACTTTCTAAAAAGGAACTAACATAGTATTAGGTGAAATGCAATTTCATGTAGTCCAGACATTTTTAAATGAAAATAATAGTAAAGGATAAAATCACAGCTTCTTTATTATATGTTTTTCTTACATTAGACCTGAAACATCAGATTTAAAAGGAGGTAAGATTTCTGAATGATCATGGGCTAGATTCAGCCAGCTTTTTCATTCCATCTCAGCCAATTGCCCTACTTATTACAGCCAATGTTCCATGTGGCATTTCTCCATGCAAGACCCATTATACCCAGCATGGTCCTTGTGATGAGCAATCAGGACCCCTCCTCCCCTTTTCATCATCAGAAAAGCTGGTTGCATCCAATACCCCATCTATACATTTCCATATAGGCCTGTTATCAACAAAGGAAAGAAGATAATGTTATTGTTATAAATATATTAGAAAACCACAAGGTCGGGGGGATCTAGTTTTTATTAATACTAAAATGAAACAGCCAGCACATTACAGCACACTGTTTATTACACAGCACTCTTCTGTTACTCATGTTATTTTTAAAGATATGGATATGATCTTGCGAGTCAAGGAAAAAGAAAATCTAATGTGAAAATTAAAATGGACACATTTCCACTGAGGAATTGCATATTAAAAAAATTGGCTTATTCTGATTTTCACTCTTTAGTATAAAGACTAGTAAAATGACTAAGAGTGCTGCTGTTGGTTGTCAATGAAACTGGAGAAATAATGCACAGGAAAGACTACTCTATTTGAGGTGTTAGAAAGATGCAAACCCAATATCTATTGATTTGCCATATCAGCTCTCTTTGATGGTGTGAGAAGCTGTCTTTTGCAAAGCAGTCCTAAGCAAGTCTACCTAGAATTCTACCCGAGTCTGTTCAGTGGGGCTTAATCCCAGGAAAGTATTGTTAGACTTGTCAGATCCTGACCTAGGTTCTGGTATTACTCAAATTTATGTGACAAGAAGTAGAATCAGGGCTATTTTTGGGCAGGAACGCACAGGAACGGAGTTCCGGCTGGCTCCAGAGTTGGCCACACCCAGCAGGAACTCATTAGCATAATAGGCCACACCCAACAGCAGGAATTAGGATTGGCTACATTTGGGGTGTATGGCCTAACATGCAAAGGAGTTCCTGCTACAAAAAAGCCCTGGGTTTTGACAACAAACAAGGTAAAGAGAATAAGAAGCAAAAGGTGGGTGTGGCTGGATGACCACACTTCTGATAACATCGGGTGTGTGGCCGAATATGCTAATGAGCTGTATTGTCATGGGTGTGGCCTAATATGCTAATGAGTTTTTGCTGTTGGGTGTGGTCTATTATGCTCATGAGTTCCTGCTGGGCTTTTTCTATAAAAAACCCCTGGTTTAAATGAATCCTTCCATAAAGGCACAAAAAAATGTACAAAATTAAAATGTAATTCCAGACCAGAGAAATTAAAAGAATAACTCTAACTGCAGACTTTAAATTAATGCTTCCCACAAGAAAGTTTTTTATATGCTGGACTTACAATGCCATCCTAAGCAGAGTTGCACCTTTCTAAGTCCACTGCCCTCCCCCCCATTTATTTATAATTTTTTCACATTATATACAGCCTTTAACACATGATTTAATACATTTATATTTTTGAGTCATTATTTCACATGATATTATTCAGCCATACAGATAGTTTCCCCCATCTTTTCTCATATATTTCCTGGCCTTTTCCTTGTAATATTAAACTTAATCTATCAATTTCTGCTAACATTAACAGTTTTTCTATTAGTTCCTCTCTCTCGAGGGTAATACATCTGATTTCCAACATTTTGCTAACATTATTCTTGCCGCTGTAAAAATATACGTTATTATGTATGTATTTTCCTTATTGCATTGCTCTGGAAATATATTCAATAAACACACTTCTGGTATAAACGGTATTCCTAGTCCTGTTTTTTTTTCACCATATTAAATATTTTGCACCAAAACTTTTGTACTTTTTCACATCGCCACCACATATGAAAATATGTGCCCATTTTTTTTACATTTCCAGCGATTTCTATTTCTATTCCCGTAACATTTTGTTATTTTATCTGGGGTCCAGTGCCACCTATGAAACATTTAAAGTATATTTTCTTTATAGGGTATGGCTCTCATCAGTTTGGCTGATTTCCATATTTTAGTCCACTGATCTATATCTCTGTTATGTTCTAATGGTCTAGAATTATATCTCTGCTATGTTCTAATGGTCTAGAATTATAGTGCTCAACTTAGAATGGTTTTTAAAAGTTGAAGGAAGTTGAAGGAAGATTGCACGGTGAAAAAGGGTGGGGGGAAAGCACTGCGCTATTGGAAGTGCTGCAGACATTTTAAACAGCACACTACAGCAATTCAGACGCACAAAGAAGAGGTGAAAATGGAAGAAAACAGTTTACCACAAAAATCCCTCAACCACACTTTGTTAACCAGACGCAAGTGGCTTTAAATGAAAAGGTACATAAAATCCATTAGCAGCTGGTTGCTAAAACAGTTGTGTCTGAAATGACACAAAAAGATCTGTTAGCAACTGGTTATCAAAACTATCAAAGCAAAGGCTGTCTGAAAGGGGCCATAGAGACAAGTTTGCTGTTCTGGTTCTCCCACCCCCCAGAATGTTTTTGTGTGATGAGCCATTACGGTGAAGAATACAGCAATCTGCAATTTGATCAATTTTCTTTTTAAACAGTAGACTACAGCATCTTTTATTAAAATGGGATATTTCCCTGGATAGCTGTTTTACACCACAGTATTGCTTGGTGTGATCTACTTTGGATGTGGTCAGAATATAAATCAGTTTCATACCACATGACTCTTTGGTTCAGTTTGTATAAAATGTACCCATTAAATATGTCCATTGGTTTAAATGAGACCTAAGGGCATGTGGCCAATCCTGTAATATTTTACATGTTTGTTGCTAAAACTGTAGGACTAATATCCTTTTCAAAAATGAAATTCTCAAGAACTACTCATGGTTAACAAGATCCTTGTGGTCTACATAGAACTGTATCAGAATCTATGTTTGCAAGTAGGTGCATATAGGCTTGGCTATGCATCATCAATGCAATGAACATGAAATTGAGCCAACTTCAGAGGACGGCGGAAGACAGGAGGGCCTGGCGGGAGCTGGTCCATGGGGTCGCGAAGATTCGGACTTGACTGTGCGACTGAACAACAACAAATGTATCTATACTCAATGAAATATTAGCTATGCCATGCATGCAGTTAGGCAATGTGGCCCAGTAGTTACAGTGTAGGACTAGTACCTAGGATGACTGGGTTCGTATCCCTGATTCAACCATGGAAGCCGCTTTGGGTCCCCAATCAAGAAAAAAAGCAGGATATGAATAATAAATAAAAATAAAAATAAAACCCTACTAGTAATATGTTTAATATTTTAGACATATGTAGTAGATAACAGCTATTTTTATGTGTCTTCTGAACTATCCAAAATTAAATTGGTTACCAATATAATTTGAAATACTAGTGTATGATACTGTATGAAGTTATCCTGTGTAAAGGCCAATAAAATGATTTTATTTTGGCTTTATTGATTAGTAGAACACTAAAATCATAGATTTTGTGTGATCCTTAGTTTGCTTTTTCTCTTGCATACATAGGTTTGTGTGTTTGTATCACTCTTCCCAGCTATAATATATGTATCAATGATGAAACCGGGCTTTTGTAGAAAGCAGAAGGAAGAGAAAAAAGTCGGTGAATGAAGGATATATATTCCTTCTTTCCCCGAAGAGCATTACGCTCTGGGGAGCAAAATCTGGTGATCCTTGGCCCAAAAGATATCCAGCAGTCCTCGACCAGGGCCAGGGCATTTTCAGCCCTGGCCCCAGCCTGGTGGAACTCTATGCCTGGTGACATCCGTGCCTTGTGAGACTTGGGACAGTTCTGCAGGTCCTGCAAGACAGAGATGTTCTGCTGGACCTATGGCTGAAGACAGCAACAGTCTACCATCGGGCCTGGCCTCCACCTCTCACCCTTCCCCCCTTCCTCCATGGACAGGGCATAAACTGACATCAGAAGCCATTAGAAGATCATACTGTAATATTATATTGTTTTAATTACTTTTATTGAGCTTGTTGTACTGTTTTATTTATTGATTTATGAGTATATGATGTACACTGCCCTGAGCCCTCTGGGAGAGGGTGGTCTACAAACTGAATCAATCAATTGATCAACCTATAAAGTTCATACTTGCTGGAGATGGGCTGGCTAGTCTTGCAACAGGGAAGATGGGTGATAATGAAACATTGTTATTCTTTGTTGTACTGAATGTATTTTAAAAATTAAACTCAGTAGATTAATAGGCACAAAAATGTGTGATGTCTTGGTATAAATTGTCATACTATCTGAAACAAAAAATGCAGAGCTTGCTCAGAGTTGTGAATGAAATTCTAATCAAACAGATCAGTTAGACTTTTCTTCTCACTTGTTTTCTAATGCAAGATAGGAATGTAACACTTGTAATGTCAATGAAAAACATTATCCTATTGAAAATTTTGGTGAACACTAAAAATAACTGCTGTTCATGACAATGATTTCCATGATTTAAAATAAATATACAAATCAATATTAGGTTGTTAAATTATTGGGTGCCCTTTAAAGTTTGTTTGTGTTTTATAATTTATACACAATTTAGCTGTTCCTACAGGATGGGGTAACATATGGAACTGGGAGCTGCATTGGGAACAGGTAGATGGTAAAGATCCCATCCATTGACTTACTCCATTTATTTCTTTATCTGTCTTACCTAGAACATTTTTATGCCCACTTTTCTCCCAACACAGTTGGGACCCAAAGCAGGTAGCAACAAAAAAAGAAAAGAAATTAGACTAAATCTATATCACATTTAAAAACAAAATTAATCTCATAACAGTATATATTGGCAGACAGATTATAACCCTGGAACCTGTATCAATACTTTCACCTGCAAAAACATTCAACCCCCTGAATCATACTCAGCAGCATGCCCCAAATGCATGATTAATAATTCTCACCAATTTGGGGAGTCTGTTCTAAAGAAGAGGGGCAACTGAAAAAGTCTGAACCTGAGTGGTGGCTGACTGGGCATCAAGAGAGGGAACAGCAAGGAGATCCTGTTGGGAACAGCATAGTTGCTGCATGGGTATTTGCAGGATGACATGGCCCTTCAAGGAATTGGGTCATGAAGGGCTTCAAAAGTAAGCATTAACACCTTGAATAGGCATTAACACCAAAATAAATAGGCAGACAGTGGAGCAACTTCAGAATAGGTTTAATGGGTTGGATCCCATCGGAAACATCTGCATGTGCAAGGAGGGGGGCTTGCCCTTCTGTGCAGATAATTTATATGGGATCCAACCCAACATGTTCTTGCTGACGAGTCCCAGATAGCAAGTGGGAACCAGCATTTTGGACAGCAGAAGGTTCCAAGTTATCTTCAAGGGCATGTCTATGTAGAGCATGTTACAATAATTGAGTCTTGAGGCTACTATAGCATGGGTCAGCATGGTCACATCTGCTGCGAGCAAAAAGGGGAGCAAGCTTCTGAGCTATAAGCAGGTAAAAAATTCATTTTTCATCTGCTCCTCTGGCAGGACCCAGATTTGGATGGCTCAGAAGCTAAGAAGATGGTTAGTATTTGGATGGGACACCACCAAAAAATGTAGGGTTGCTATGCAGAGGAAGGCAATGGCAAATGAATGCAACTAATTGACTAAGGTCCCTGCCACACCGGCGGGGGGGGAATGCGCATGCAAAGTGCGGCTTTTGAAAGCCGCACCAAAATAGGCACGCAGCGGCGGGATCACACAGATCCCTTGAGCCGCCGCGCACTTGCTCCCCGGCACGATCAGATGCCGGGGAGACCAGGGAGAAAGCCACGAAGCAGAGAGGGAGGCTGCCGAACTGTGCATGTGTGAGCATACGCAGTTCGGCCAGGAGCCTCGGATGCGCCGGCAGAAGGATGCGCCGGTGATCCCACGGCAGCGCTTGCCGCGGCCTTTCTGGTAAGTTCACCTCTAGGGGTGGTTCTTTTTTGCAGCGGGTTTTCGGCCTGAAGGGCCGGATCGGGGACCGGTGCGCGCAGCTTCCCAGATGTTGCGGTGCGATCGCGCCCGTTTGCTACGCCCCCGATCTGTCCCTCTCCCGGCCCAAACCCTTACGTGTGACCGGGGCCTAAGATACCTTTAATTGGTGACAGCCTATAAAATATACACAATATTAAAATAAACCTGGCTGTTTAATAATTAATTAATTATGTATACATTCTTTGAAGGACACATACACAATTGTACATGATACAGAACTTACCATAATCTTTCCCCTTTATTATCTGTAAGATCCTTGCTGAGGACCTGTTCTTTCCATTGGAGTCTGAACAAAGTATTGTTAAATTAACATTTACTTCAGTTGGGTGACGATCAACAGCACACCTGTACATAGCACACAACAGTATGTTAAAATGTATAAGACAGCTAATCTTTTTGTTATTCTTTACATTTATTCCCATACCAGAACAATTATGAAAGAGGGCTTTTTTGTCCTAAATCACTGATACAGAAGTGCATGCCAATGTTTGTTTGTTTGTTGAATGCTGCAGGAAACAGGCCATATCAGCTGAGAAAAAGTGACAGCATAAGAAGAGAGAAGAAGAGGAGATTAGATTTTTACCTTGCCCTTCACTACCTGAAGGAGTCTCAGAGCAGCTTACAATCCCTTTCCCTTCCCCTCCTCACAACAGACACCCTGTGAGGTAGATTGAGCTGAGAGAGCTCTCTCGAGAACTGCCCTTGAGAGAACAGCTCTGAAAGAACCTATGACTGACCCAAGGTCACACCAGCAGCTGCATGTGTAGAAGTGAGGAATCAAACCCGGTTCTCCCAGTTTAGAGTCCACACTCTTAACCACTACATCAAATTGGTAGTTCGGTTAATTTAAGAAGATAAGAAAAGCCTCGCTTGATAAGACCAGTGGACCATCTAGTCCAGCATCCTGTCTCATACAATGACCAATCAATTCCTCTGGAGGTCCAACAACAGAGCATAGCTCTTTCAAATATATTCAAATCCATTTAAATACAGTCTGTTAAAAAAATACAGTAAATTGTATTCTCACAGTACCAAGACAGTCTGCAGAAGACTTTGTTTCTGAGAGCCAAGGGAATACCAATCCTCCCTCTCCCTGTAGTAAGAGTACTTAAAAGCTATGATGCAATTTTCTCATGTTGTGAATTCCTTGCCTGCCCGTTTAATGTTGCTGACACAGGCAAGGAAACTGTGATCAGTATTCCTGGTTTGTGGTTCTATATACAATATCCAGCTGATCTTCAATGTCTCCCTTCATGAACGGGGAAAATGTTATACTCTTATACTGGAGCTTAGTGAAATTCAGACACACAAATTTGTCATCTGGGTGGAAAAGTGGCTTGGGCAAGGAAAGCAATGCTGAGCAGAGAGCCAGTGGAAGGGCAAAGGGTGTCCTCTGCACACCCTCCCTTGTACTCTTCTGCCCCAGAAGCTTCTTTTATTTCATAATGGCATAGCATGTCAGTGTAATAAGTAGTTTGTTCCTAGCTCTGTTGCAACTCCAGTATAAAATATGAAACATTTGTAGTTTATGCAGGGGTCGTTTCGTAGAAAAAGAGCTAGGGGAACTCATTAGCATAACTCATTAGCATATGCCACACCCCCTGACATCACCGGAAGTGTGTCATAAGGCCACACACCCCGCCCCCAACGGTCCCGGCCGCTGCCGCCGGCCTTGAAGCTCCACTGCCGACCCCCATGAGGGGCCCGGCGGTGGACCTGCAAGGCCGGCGGGAGTGCAAGGAAGCCCCCAAAGGCCCTCCCTGGCCCCAGGCAGGCAGGGGTGGGGAGAGGCAGGGAGGAAGCAACTTACCCTCCCTCTTCTCCTGCCTCCTCCTGGCTGAATGAGGGCCAGAAGCGGGGCGGCCGGAAGCAGGGGGCGGGGCTTCGTCATGTGCCCCGCCCCCGTACCTCACCCGGGGAACTGCGATCCCCCGCGATCCCCCCCGAAATGACCTCTGAGTTTATGTTGAGAAACAGAGAGCTAGCCAAAAAGTTTATATGAAGATACAAACTAGCGTTGTGACATAAATAAAAGTTGATTTCAAAAAAACTGTTTTCAAAAATCCCTGTCACTTTGTGTAGAAAGCACAATTGTATTGTAGCTTTCCCCAGATATTCTGTGAGCATATGAAAGCAAGAGGAAACTGGGATTGTGACCCCTGTCACCTCTTCATCTATATAGGATCATTTCAGAGGTCTGAATGGAGACTATGTGTGTCCAAGTTGTGCATGGGCAGGCTCTTCCAGTCATGTGGGCAGGGCCTACATGGATAGGGCCCTTTTCAGACCTTTACAGAAAATGTGGAGCTCAGGAGCAGAGACACCTAGCATTCTCCTTTTCCCCAACCCTTCAATTCACTAAACATCTGAAAATACTGGGCTCAATATACTTTTCTTCCCAGTACTATATGAGGGGATGAGAGCCAGTGATTAGTGGTTACAGATTAGGTTCAAATTCCCATTTGCCAAGGACACTCACTAGATGATCTAGGCTAAAATGAAGAGCCATGTACACCACCCTGAGCTTGATGGATAAATGTACTAAACAAATAAGGGCTTTTATTCCCACTATATATTTATATTTATGTGGGTGAAGAGCCTGGCTAGTTTCCACTCATGCTGGAAAAGAAAAGCAACCTCCTCACCTGCCTGGGTTGTGGAGTCCATGAGCAAAAATTTCAGGAGGCTGATTGGTGCTGTTAAAGTGTGGGTTGCTCCGTGGTATGGAATAAGGCACATTGCAGAAATCAGTGTCTACATCCAGACGCAACACAGAACCTGTAAAATCACTGAGAAAGTTGGAGGATAACACAATTGATTTTAAAAAACAATTGTTACTTGGCATTGTTCATGCATATAGTATCCAAGAGCTCTAGAAAATCACTCAGCAAAGGAGAAATCTCCCTTCTATAAAGAAGTGCCGAATTTATGAGATGAGTAGGGGAATGGCACTTAAGGGACTCAGATTACTGTGATTTTGATGAGTTTAAGGGCCAAGTCAGATGGGAGGCAAAAGATCCATGATTTTTTAAAAAGCCAATTAACAGTCCCAGGCAGCTGATTTGAAGACCAGGGAAGGGTCAATGGATGAAAGGTTTTTTAACTGTTTTCTACCATGCCTCTTTCACAATTTAAGCTGCCCACCCAAAGCTGCAATTCATGCTGTGTGGAGGAAAACATAGACACATGTGCCCGAGTGCACACAGTGAACTCAGGCTTTGCATGGGGCATTTTAAATTGTGGAAGAGGCATGGGAGTAAGTGGTCACTGTACAGCCCTTTCCCAGTCTTCAAAGCCTCAAACTGCTGATCAGCATTTTTTTTAAAAATGGAAGGTCCTACAATTTCAGTGGGGTAGCCATGTTAGTTTGTTGTAGCAAAATAAAACAGACGTCTAGTGGCTCATTAAAGACGAACAAGATTTATTCTAGCCTGAGCCTCTTTCTGCCCTAGGATTGTCAAATCTGGCATGGGAAATTTCTGGAGATTTGGGGGTAGAACCTGGAGACTGCAGGGTTTGAGGAGGGACCTAAGTGGAGTATAATGCCATACAGTCCACCTGCCAAAGCAAACATTTTCTCCTGGGGAACTGATCTCTGTAGCCTGAAGTTCATTTGTAATTCTGGGAAATCTTAAAGGCCCCACCTACAGCCCCCCTAAAAGTACTCTGCCCCAACTCCTCCCCTCCCCTCCTGTAACTTTAATAATAGTAGGAGGGAAATTATTTTCTTTGAGGAAATGAGTTTTGACTCATAAAAGTTCATGCTGGAATAAATATTGTTAGTCTTTAAGATGCCACTGGACCTCTGTTTTATTATGGTCTTTAAGACACGGGGTGAGATACCTGCATGCACTTTTGATTACACAACACATTTTCTTGAATGACTTGTTAAGTTTTGAAAAGAAACATTTCTGCTTAAGGGTAGCTTCTGGGTAACTGTAATGGGAAGTGACCACTGTTAACAACTTTATTAAGAAAATAAATTTAACAGAAACTATTTCAGACTATCAGAGGTTGAGGTCACACGCGCAAGATAATGCTGGGGGGAAGCGAGGCTATTTGCTCTGCAGGTATTTGACCTGCATTTTTGCGATCACACAGTCCCTGGAAGCTGCGGGGGCAGCCGGCCACTGCATGATCAGACACAACTGCGGGTGAGTCGGGGGGGGGGGATTTGTTCCTGATGTGCTTAAATGGGGAATCGATGAATCACATCTCAGCACTGAGGGCTCCCTATGGAGTGTGCAATGCTGCGCATACTGAGAAGGGGGGGAAACAACGGCACCAAGTCAGGATGGTCTGATCAGACCATCCCGATACCATGAGAGCGTGCTGGAGCGATCAGACAGGGGAAAGTCCATATTGTGTAGTGGGTTAGCCGCATGGACGAAGGACAAAGACTGGCATAGTGCATAGCACGCTTTATTGGTACACAACACGAACTGCCGCTAACGGCCTGCAAGCAAACTATATACACTCTTGGGGACACACCCCTGGGCCCTGTTGGCGGGTTTGAATCTCCCGCCACGGTGCCCATTGGTTCCCCAGTGGAGGGACTAGGAGCCTAGTCCCTATTGTTATCCCAGAGTCAAGCTCTGCGATATTTGCTGGCCCCTGGTGGCGGTCAGCGGACACAACAGTCCACCTGTGGCCTGTAGCAACCCATTTGCTACCGGACTTTCCCTAGTGTCTTTTTACTCCACTTCTGCAGTGGAGCAAAATGGGTTGCCGACAGGTGCAGGGTGCTTCCCAGATGTCCGTGTCTGATTGTGGATAATTGTGCGTGTGATCGCACCCTAAGAAAACCTAGAAATTGAAATAAAATTGACAACAAGGGGGAAAAAATCAGATAAAAAACAGTAGCTAGAACCATGGCTGACATGCTATTAGCTCCCTACTGCCATAGGCCCAACTCATACTGGATACACTCCTCTCCTGCCAAATTTGGGTCTGAAGTTCCAGTCACAGAACTCTAGAGTCACATGTAATTGGCTCTAACTCATTCAGTGAGATCAGTAGCATGTGAATGTGGTAAAGACTGTGAGTAGGGTTTGGTTCTTTTTATAAATATTGATTTTGTTATTGGCCAAATAAACACTACAACTTCAGTTATTTTCTAAGGGAAAAAATGAAGGAGAAAATTAAAACCACTGGCATTTTTGTACCTTAAACCATCCATCTCCTCCATATCATCAATAGTGATCATTCCATCACCAAGGAATATGTATAAAAATCCATCAGGGCCAAACAACAGTTGTCCTCCAAGGTGTTTTCTATGTAGTTCAGCTACTTCTAGGAAAACTCTCGCTGTTCTCATATCAACCTGGTGTGGGTTTTTTCTGCAACATACACACACATTTTAAAAAATCAGAATTAATCCCAGTAACATATTTCTGTTCAAATGATGTGTAATACATTTTATCTCTGTCCCACAATGAAAGGAAAGAAGCTGTTGCTACAAAACCTACTGGGTCACACTTAGGCCCCGTTCACACGAGGCGTTTTGGGCCGGGAGTGGGCCAGATTGGAGACGGAGCAAACAGGCGCGATCCCACGCCAACATCTGGCTGGCGTGGCGCTCCCGTCTCTGATCTGGCCCTTTCCCTGGCTGCGGCGCGTCAAAAGTGAACCACCTACCGAGGTGGTTCATCCGGATGACGCGCCGCAAGCAGGGAGCCTGCCGAACTGCGCATGCTCCGACATGTCGGAGCATGCGCAGTTCGGCAGGCTCCCTGTCAGGGCCCTGGTTTCTCCCCGGCGTCTGATCACGCCGGGGAGAAAAGGCGCCGCGGCCAGGGGATCCGTGGGATCCCGCCGCGGCGTCTCAACTTTGGCGCAGCTTTTAAAAGCCGCGCTTTTAGAGGCTTTTCCCCTACCGTGTGGCAGGGGCCCCAGGCTATGCTAGCTGCCATTCATTTGAGCTGGAAGATAATGTTTCCTGAAGGCACTTTAACAGACCAAAAAGACCTATGTGAGCTTTATTTTGTTTCCTTGCCTTCCCTGTAGTACCAGATGTATTGTGACTAGGGTTTTAGTATTTCATTGCATTCTGAATGCCCCTATGGTTCTTCCCTCACTATTATCACAGTTGTATTGGGATGACATAAATGAGAGCAGGTACTGGGAGATTTTAGAGAGAAACATCACTGAACCATTTTCTGGAATGGTCTCATTAAAGAGATGAGGCTGCCTGGGACAACCATAACACGCTGCAGTTTGAGATTACAGTAATCAATCAAATGCATTATGGTTGCAAATTCAGTTTGGAGCCAGCATTCCACATTTCTCCAGCAAAGGCAAATGGGAAAAGCTTATGGGCCAGTACAACCATCAGCAACTACCGTAACATTTGAAATGATTTCTGTTGCCCAAATGTCATGATTTTATAGAGCAAGAGAATATTGACCAGCCAGCCTTCTGAATGTACTCCAGTTTGTCAGCCAAAAGGACACCTTCTTAATTCTAAAAATGGTAGCATGACTCTTCTAAGAGCCTAAATTTGGTACTGCACACATACAATTGTGCACCATTCAGAAAAATATGCACTATTATGAAATTATTTGAATTAAAAATATACAGAAAGCCACAAAGTCATATACTGTTGGTCTCTCAACAACACTGATGCATTTTTAAAGCATCCTCTAAATCAGGAGGAGCCATGTTTAAAAGCATGATATAGAAAAGAAGGAAGGTGAGGTTTGGGGTTTGGGACTTGGGATGATACCCAGCAAATAAAGTATGTATTTGCTAACTATACAATGAAAATCATTGTAGAAATTGTACATAAAGATCATACCTGGACACTGTGTATTCTACAACCCTAAGAATATGGTCATGAGGCCCAATAGCCCATCGCTCTTGGTTGGTGGTATAAGACACATACAGCTTTCCATTTTTTTTGTAATTGGGATGGAATGCCAGGCTTAACAGCCCTCTTTCATCTCCACCCTGCAGTCAAATGAAAAACACAAAGAATTGTGAAGTTAATTATGTTCTTTATTGTGTTTAAGAGGGAACCCCCAAAAGTTTCTTTCTTTCTTTTGGGTAATCTTTACCCGGCTCCTTTCTTCCTTCCTTTCTTCCTTTTCTGACTACAGCACAAAAAAGGATTATAAAACATTTCATTTGGATTGGGGAGGGGGGGAGTCCTTCAGAGTTGGAATAGGACAATTGTTTTGTGAAGCTATCGGTACACAAGCCTCCTTACTCAGCTTTTATGGAGTGATTTGTGAGTGTAATCTTTGGGAAGCCATGAAGACAAGTTTAAGTGCTGTGAAGAATTCTTTGCTGGATTACTAGGTTGCTTGTGTGCAGAAGGCAAATAAAAAAGGTCTATAATCAGCAGTCACTTCAAACCCAAGTATCCAAGTCCTACAACACAGTGCCAACTCCCACTGTCTTGGCAATATGTTTAGAAAACAGTTAAATTGCTTGTATAATATGTAAGCCTTTGTTTTACCCTGGAGGCAGCTACATCACTTGTCACAACGATGGTGGTCTGTTCATCATTGCTAGCATACTGTAGTAGGTAATAAGCTGCCTCCAATCTCACTGCCTGAAAGCATCATTTTTTCCCCCATGGGGGCCCACAGTGCAAAGGTTTTTATTATTTCAAAAAACAAAAATAGAAAATAACCAAACATCTTTCTTTCATTATTTATGTTCGCCACACAGATTAGTACAGTTATGTGTTTAGCATCAATTTCATGTACTGTGACAATACAAATGTCAGCAACAAAATGCAGAAAAGACCACAAAATAAGAGGTGAGAGACCAAATGTGCAAAAAACCTAAAAGCACCCCCAAAACAGAATGCCATAAATGCATTCTTCCACAGAGACAGCATCCTGATTATAGACTGTTATACAATATAGAAATACAAAACAGCAGAAATTAAGCTCAGAAAATGATCAAAAACACAGTGCAGTAAACTATTATGTGTTTTTTGTCACTGGGAAATTTTGCAACATTTTAGTGAAAACCCAAGGCCTGGAAATAAACTATTTTTTAACTATAGTATACTTACTTCACATGTTTACTCTGGCTACAATCCATCACAGACAACCCAATTCCAAACCTATTTACAGAAGTTTGTCTCAGCAATTTCAATGAAGCAAACTTCCAAGTTAGGGCATGCAGAACTGCAACCACTGATGGGATCAGGAATGCTTAATCCTGGTGTCCTCTGTGGTTGTTTACCCTTACAAAACACTTTCAATTGAGCACTTGCTGGACAAAGGCCGCAGTCACAGGTACCAGATAACGCGGGGGAGGCGAGGCTATTCGTGCCGTCACAATTTGACCCACCACTATGGCGACCAGATGCGACGGCGGTGAACCCGGGTTTTTTTCTGTTGGCGCATGTTTCAGCGTGCTTCAATGAGGAAGCAGGGAGGCAGTAGGAGCGCGCTGGAGTGATCAGATGGAGACAGTCCGTCTGTGACCTGTTGCAAACAATTTGCAAGTGGACTTTCCAAGGTACTTTTTTACTCCACAGCTTTGGCCGGGCGGTATGGGTTGGGGGCGGGTGTGCGAAGCTTGCCAGATGTGTCCATGTGATCGCGCCCTTGAAATCTCCCCGGTATTCGTGGGTATCGCACGGCAAATGCTGTGTGTGATCGGGGCCAAAGAAACATTTAGCTGACTATCCTTTTCTACCCCCAATGTACAGGTGAATTTCTGTTATTCCTAGTTCTGCTGTACTAATACATTTAACAGCTTGTTATATAGAAAAAGCTGAACCATTCTGAATATATATGAAATGAAGTGTGAGGTGGAATCTAGCCAAAGTTGCTCATTCAGCTCCCATTGGTTTCAATATGAAAGAATACTGGGTAGAATTCTACTGTTGTTCCACTGATAGAATAGGGAGGAAGGCAGATCTTATGCAGTTTCTCTCATTACTGTAGCCACCCCCCAACCCATGTGGCTTAAGAACATAAGAACATAAGAGATGCCAATGTTGGATCAGGCCAAAGGCCCATCCAGTCCAACACTCTGTATCACACAGTGGCCAGAAATACCAGTGCCATCAGGAGGTCCACCAGTGGGGCCAGGACATTAGAAGCCATCCCACTGTTGACCCCCCCAAGCACCAAGATGACAGAGCATCACTTGCCCCAGAGTCCCTGTCTATACCTTGTGGCTAATAGCCACTGATGGACCTCTGCTCCATATGCTTATCTAATTCCCTTTTGAAGCCATCCATGCTTGTAGCCGCCACCACTTCCTGTGGCAGTGAATTCCAAGTGTTAATCACTCTTTGGGTGAAGAAGTACTTCCTTTTATCTGTTCTAACCCGACCGCTCAGCAATTTCATGGAGTGCCCACGAGTTCTTGTATTGTGAGAAAGGGAGAAAAGTACCTCTTTCTCTACCTGCTCTTTCCCATGCATAATCTTATAAACCTCAATCATGTCACACCTCAGTCGTCGTTTCTCCAAGCTAAAGAGCCCTAAGCGCCTTAACCTTTCCTCATAGGGAAAGTGTTCCAACACTTTTATCATTCGAGTTGCCCTTTTCTGCACTTTTTCCAAAGCTATAATATCCTTTTTAAGGTGTGGTGACCAGAATTGCACACAGTATTCCAGATGAGGTCGCACCATTGATTTATATAGGGGCATTATGATATTGGCTGATCTGTTTACAATACCCTTCCTAATAATCCCCAGCATAGCATTGGCCTTCTTTATTGCAGTCACACACTGTCTCGACATTTTCAGTGAGTTATCTACTACAACTCCAAGATCTCTCTCTTGATCAGTCTCTGCCAGTTCAGACCCCATCAACGTGTATTTATATTTAGGATTTTTGGCTCCAATGTGCATCACCTTGCACTTGGCCACATTGAACCCCATTTGCCATGTTGACGCCCACTCGCCCATCCTTGACAGATCCCCTTGGAGTGCCTCACAATCCTCACTGGTTTTCACCACCCTGAACAACTTCGTATCATCCGCAAATTTAGCCACTTCACTGCTTACTCCCAACTCCAAATCATTAATGAACAAGTTAAAAAGCAGTGGACCAAGTACTGATCCCTGCGGTACCCCACTGCTTACCCCCCTCCACTGAGAGAACTGCCCATTTATACTCACTCTCTGTTTTCTATTAATTAGCCAGTTTTTGATCCATAAAAGGACTTGTCCTTTTATCCCATGATTTTTGAGCTTACTTAGGAGCCTTTGATGAGGAACTTTATCAAAAGCTTTCTGGAAGTCAAGGTAAACAATATCTATTGGATCCCCCTTGTCCACATGTTTGTTCACCCCCTCAAAGAACATTAACAGGTTAGTGAGACAAGATCTTCCCTTACAGAACCCATGTTGAGTCTGCCTCAATAGGTTTTGTTCATCTATGTGCCTACTAATTCTTTCCTTAATAATGGTTTCCACCAATTTACCCGGTATCGACGTCAGACTGACTGGCCTGTAATTTCCCGGATCTCCTCTGGAACCCTTTTTAAAGATGGGAGTGACATTAGCTACCTTCCAGTCCTCAGGAATGGAGGCTGATTTTAAGGAGAGATTACATATTTTTGTCAGGAGATCCACAAGTTCACAATTGAGTTCTTTCAGAACTCTTGGATGTATGCCATCTGGGCCTGGTGATTTATCAGTTTTTAAGTTGTTTATCAGTTTTAGGACCTCCTCTCTCGTCACCTCAATCTGACTCAGGTCTTTCAACACCCCTCCCGAACTCAGCGGCTCTGGAGTGGGCAAGCACCTCTCATCTTCCACAGTGAAGACGGAGGCAAAAAATGCATTTAGCTTCTCAGCCATTTCCCTATCATCCTTCAGTACTCCTTTTACCCCTTGGTCATCCAAGGGCCCCACTGCCTCCCTGGCTGGTTTCCTGCTTCTAATGTATTTGAAGAAAGTTTTATTGTTGGTCTTTACATTTTTTGCTATATGCTCCTCATATTCCCTTTTTGCCTGCCTGACCACAGACTTGCATTTTATTTGCCATAGCCTGTGTTCTGTTTTATCAGCCTCACTGTGACTAGCTTTCCACCGCTTAAAGGAATCCTTTTTACCTTTTACAGCTTCCATTACTTTGTTTGTTAACCATGTAGGCTTTTTCTTATACCTGTTTGTGCCTTTCCTAACCTGCGGAATATATATTTTTTGAGCTTCTAGGATCGTAGTTTTAAATAGATCCCAAGCTTCCCCAATTGTTTTGACCCTTTCTACTTTTCCTTTCAGTTTCCTCCCCACGTGTCCCCTCATATCAGAGAAATTACCCCTTTTAAAGTTAAAAATGGTTGTGTGAGTCTTTTTGGCCAATTCTCTATTTGTACAAATGATGAACTCAACAACATTATGATCACTGTTTCCAAGCGGTGCAATCACTTTTACATCTCTCACCAGGTCTTGAGTGTTACTTAGGACCAAATCAAGGATCGCCTCTCCCCTGGTAGGTTCCATGACCATCTGCTCCATAGCACAGTCATTTAGAGTGTCTAGAAACTCAATCTCTTTCTCTCGACTAGAACACATATTGACCCAATCAATGTGTGGGTAGTTAAAATCACCTATTACGACACAGTGTTTTTGTCTAGCTGCTATCTTTAATTCATTCATCATTTTATAATCCTCCTCTATCTTTTGATCCGGTGGGCGATAACAAACTCCCAGTGTTAAGTTTCCTTTTGGCCCCCCTATTTCAACCCACAGAACTTCAAGAAGCGAATCCAATTCTCTTAGCCTCTCGATCTTTCTGGACTTTATACCCTCTCTGACATACAGAGCCACCCCACCTCCAACCCTTCCCCCCCTATCCTTCCGATATAATATATAACCGGGAATCACCGTATCCCACTGATTTTCCTCATCCCACCAAGTTTCAGAAATACCCACAATGTCTATTTTTCCCTCCCTCACCAAGCACTCCAACTCCCCGATTTTACCTCGGACACTTCTAGCATTTGTATAGAAACAGCTGTAATTT